TGTGTGTGTGTGTGTGTGTGTGTGTGTGTGTGTGTGTGTGTGTGTGTGTGTGTGTGTGTGTGTGTGTGTGTGTGTGTGTGTGTCTGTGTGTGTGTGAATTACTAACTGGTCCTTTTTGACCTACCTAAACCTGTGACAAGACTCCCTTCTATTTTCGGGAAATGGCCCACATGGAAACCTCAGACCTGAATCATTCCAACATTTTTGAAGGGAGACTATCATCAGAATCCGGACCCAGACACAGATCATATTTTTGCAGCTGACATCTAGCTTTACAGAATACAATGAGCCCAATTAAAATCCCAGATCCAATTCTCTGGATATTCAGACTCCATATTCCAGCTTTTTAGCAGCTTTCACCCATCTCTGTCACCATCATTCACCTTGGCCACTTGTTTTCTCTCTGCTACAAGGTGTTTTGTATCTAATACAGCCATTTAGTTTACACTTTTAAGGATCACCTTTGATCTAGTTTGATCTGAACCTGGATCAAACTGGGTAGTCTGACAGCTACACCAGAGTTCAGTACAGAGTCCAGGAAATGCACTCCATGACAGCAGTGAGCAAACATTAAATAAAAAGCTTTCACTCACACTTGTATGTTTGTTTGATTTTTCATGATTCACCAAACTTTATATTTCATTCTTGGTGCAGATGCCAGAATCCCAGCAGTCCAGCCTCCCACAGGGCAATGGAAGAGGTGTGATAAAAATACCAGTGTATATGCGAGAGTTAGATTAAGCAGTTCTATAAGAGTGGACTGATGTCACCCAGTTGCTCATGTGAGCAGAGCTCAACATGGGTGAGAAAGAGATTATCTCCACTATGTGAAAGGCTACCTCCTTCCACGCATATAAGCCATATAATGACAATATATTAACTGTACAGAGAGAAAAGGTACAACATGAAGAAAAAGAAAAATGCTAAACTTGTCAGTTTCTACATTATTTACTAATATTTTAAAACTAGTATCAAACAAATGAAGGGCAGGGATGCTGATAAAAATGACCGAGCTGGAAATAGGGTTTAGAGTAATACACAGAGGACAAGTGCAGGAGGGGTATTAAAACATAAAATGTTATGTTTCTCAATTAATTCTTTGCACTGTAGATAACAAAACAATAACAACTACGCTGAAAGATAGGATAAATCTAGGTGCATTAAAATGAACACATAACCATACTGTCTTAAACCGAACCCTAGTGCAACAAGTAGGCTGCATGCAATGAGATGATATTCAGTACTAGTACGTGTAAATTCCTGCATTGAGGGAGGGGAAATAAATAGCACAGCTATTAATTGAGGGGTAGCTAGCTGTGAATCTGAGAAAGATCTAAGGGTGATCACAGACCGCAAGTTAATACACAGTCTCAATGTGATGCTGCTGGGGGGGAGATGCCAGGCTATTTTTGGATCTGTATATATAAAAGGATCATATGGAAAGCTAAAGAGATAACAGTGTCATGTTAACACAGCCCTAGCACAACCATAGAGGGAACAGCATGTGTGCAGTTCTGATCTCCACAGATTAGAACGGATATAGAAAAATTAAAGGAAACACAAATAAGGGCAATAAAAGTGATCTAAGGACAGATGGAGAGATTGAAGGAACTAAATTAATACAGTCTAAAAGTGAGAAGAATCTGTGGGCCATGAGCCATCTATAAATACCTTTAAGGTATTGTGTGAAGGTAAGTAATTAATCAGGCTCAAAAACTGGTAGAACAGGGAGCAGTTGAGTGAAATTAAGTAAGGAAAAGTTCTGGATGGAAGGCAAGAAGAAGTTCTTTAAAGTGCTGCACCTGAGCAATGGCACAGAACCCCAAAGGAGATAGTCCGGGTACAGTCATTGCCCATATTCAAGAACAGGTTAAACAAGAAGCTAGGGGAAAAGATGTAGACAATAGACCTCTTAAAATCCGAAGGCGTACACTAGGCAATCTTTTTTATTTTCATGTTCTATTTACTTTGGTTATCTGAAAGGCTGGTGCTCCTACACAGATGTATATAATATATGAGGCTCACAGGATTTGGCCCACTCTGCTGCTATATATCTGGTTAAAATCCAACCCAGGTCAGTTGGTTGTCCTGTGGCTTATGTAAAATGAGTTTGGTGGATTTCTGGAAGAACGAGTGTCCTCATTGCAAAAACCATCATCCCAATAAGCAGACTTATGGGCAGTTTCAGCATTGAGGCCAAAGGCTGAAAGGGCATGAACTCTGAACTACCTTTGTCTTTTTTTAACACACAATGGTGAACCTTCTAGCTCTGAGTTCAGAGACACTAGTACGACAATGTGAAGTGGAATCTTAACATGGTTGCTGCTCATGTTGTACCTTGTCTGTGGATCAGCTGAGAACCAATACTGCCAATATATCACCTTTCAGGAATGCTAAAATACACAACACTTACAAAATATAAAAAAGGGGGCACTGGTAACAAGTCCTAGAATTTTTAATGACAAATGGGTACACACACACGAGGCATATAAAGCCATGTAGCATCATTGCCCCCACCCTTTACAAATATCCCATCCCAACTGCACTCACCAGTTGGGACTTCTGTCCCCTCCTCACTGTGGATGGGCAGTGGTGATTCCTCCATAGGGTGAGGCACTGATGGAAAGTAATGAATTGTGGTAGTATTTGTCGCAAAGTGACAATCACAAGACGGTCCCTTTATTATCATTATAATACAAATGCCTGGTTACTGACACAAGGAGTCCTTTTTCAAAATGTCACATGGCAGGAGGTGGCCCCTGCAAATATTTCATGTGTCCGAGGCACCTCTGAGAATTCAGATATATCAGTGGGATCCACCATCTGAAGTTTGAAATCCCTGGGCTTAATTTCCTCTTGAGAGTTCACATTCTGGGGGGATTATTAGCTTCTGAAAGTTTAACATTACCGAAGAGGCCTCATTTTGGTCATTCACAGTCGATGGGGTTAATCCCAATCTAGAATTCATATCCGTAGAAGTTTAGACCCTTCTGAAAATTCACACTGCACAGAGAGGTTTCTATCCTGGAAGTTTCATAATTCCGACACTTGACAATATTCTGATTATTCACATCCCTGGAGAAAACTCTCTTTTGGAAATTCATACTGTTGAAGAAGCCAAAGGGAGCCAAGGCACTAAGGCACATATATAGACAGGTTAAAGACATCAAATCTGAGTCATGATATTTCATACACAGAACCAGCAGAGAGAGGCTCTGGTGCTCAAAGCTTGCCTTTGGCTGCTGAAATGCCACAGCAGGTGGTAGAAGGTTGCACTGCATGTGGCCTCTAGGCCATAAATTTTGTATCACTGATCCATTTTATGGAATATATTCCAGTTACAAAGCTCTAGATTATCCAGATATTCAGCTTTATGATATTAAAGTCACTAGAGGGAGATCTTTGACTCTGCACTCCAATGGGCTCCAGATTCTGGTGTACAACGTCGGGACACCATATCATCATGTCTTTAGGTTTCTTTTCCTATTTGGAGCCTCTTCCTTTAAAGATGTTTTTTGTTACCCTGGTGATTCCTCTTTAAAAAACTGGGGGAAATGTGTCCTTTGAACTCTTTTCAAGAGACTTGAATTTTCTATATTAGGGGTCCCATGTTGAAAAATGTGAGTAATATGACTCCTGGAATTTTTCCAATCCTATTGTCTTTTAAAAAATGGTACCGTAGCTTCTCAAAGATACGCTCAGTCTCATTTTAGCATCCCAGTGTAAAGGACAATTCTTTTTAATTGCTGGTGTGTTTTTTTCATTTAATATACACATGCTCTTCTCCTTTGAAAAAGCTTATCCTCAATTGATTGCCCTAGTGATTTCCATAAAACCAGCCAAAAGAATGTTCATGATTCAAAGATACAAAGTAAAATTCTTATAACATTTCTGCCAGAAATATAGCCAGAATAGAGCGAGTTTTCAATAGAGTTTTACTAGCAATGGGACCACACAGTTGTGTCTTGCTAGGTTCAAAGAGGCTACAATCTCTGCCTACACCTAAGCCCTCCTCTTATCGAAATGCACAATAAAGGGTAGTGTAAGAGAGAAACAGCTGAACACAGTTGACTACATAACTACCGTACTATCCAGGGAAATAATGGTCTACAAGGGTGCATTGCACAAGCTCCTTTTATCTGAAAGCGGAACTAACATTCCAGCCCAGTAACACAAAAAAAAACCATTTGTCACCACACAGCGTTTTGCTACATATTAACCAGGAGTTGCTATCTGAGTCTAATCTAGTGCCATAATTCAGAGACGTATGTTATTTTCTGAAAAAAAATGTTGATTTATGAGAAGTCAGCTTGATGTGAATGCTCATGGCTTGCCACGCCACTTGACATAGGGCGTGCTTCAAAGTTATACAAAGCGGGTCCTGCATTGCAATTAATGCAGTCGTTTTCCTCATTGAGGCTCATTTTGCACTAAGGCAATAATGGTCTTAATCTATCGATGCTGCTTCTTGAAACATTTTCTTGACTTTACTTACTAGATAGAGTCCCGTGGCACCTTATAAGTCTAACAGACCTATTGGAGCATGAGCTTTCGTGGGTGAATACCCTCTTCTTCGGATGCATCACCGTATTCACCCACGAAAGCTCATGCTCCAATACGTCTGTTAGTCTATAAGGTACCACAGGACTCTTTGCTGCTTTTACAGATCCAGACTAACACGGCTACCCCTTTGATACTTACTAGAAAGAGATACTGGAGCAGAACTTACTTGACTACTTAAAGTTTTAAAATCAGAGATCTGCAAGCAAAGCAAGTTGCTAGGCGACGTGTAAAACTGTTGAGCTCCATGATGTGTAGCTTTACATACTCTGTGGAGATCCTGTACAAGATTCATCAGCCTGACATAGACTGGGCATTTATTCTGGAGGCAAATGTATTCCCAAAACATTTGCAACAATATTCATTGATGGCTGGTCCATGGGTTGTAAAAAAGGGCCTGAAATATCTGTATGCTCCAAATGGCCACACACACATAAACAAATAAACAAAAACAACTTTACTGACACAACTTGGATTTTATAGAAGAATCCAAGAGAGAGAAGCTTATTTTTAGCATAGGACTGGGAGCTAGAACTCCTGAGCTCTAAGCTGAGCTCTGACATTGGCTCCCTCTTTGACCTTGGCTAAGTCACTAGGGCTTGATCCAAAGCCTACTGAAGTCAATGGAAGTTTTACCATCAAGTTCAATGGGCTTTGGTAGAGACCCTCAACCTCTATGCATCCGTTGCCACTCATGTATAAAGTGAGACGTTACTACATGCCTACTTCACAGGAGTGGTGTGCTCACCAATACTGTAAAATACTTTGCAATGGTGCCTAGGTACTACCATAATATACACAATAGAACTGCATATATAGATTTGAGATAGTGGGTATTGAGTATTGTTGAGCAGTTTATTTTTACATGCTCTTTATTCAGTGGTTTCTATGAGCAGATGGTAAGCGTTCAGTATTTGAACATTCTAATTACTTTTATAATCCTTTTGTAATTTCATAAATGAGCATAGATAACACTTACATGAAGAAGAGTCTCTCCTGAATGGATTTTCTCTTCCTGTTTTGGGGGAGAGGGGTTGGAGAGGGAGTGAAAAAGAAAAAAAAGAGAAAGCAAATAAATAAACAGATACATAAAATAAAATAAATAAAATAAAAAAGAGGGGGAAAGTCCATCAGGATACTAAGATACATTTCGTTCTGATATCTGTTTTGCTGGTGTACATATAGTCCCTCAGAAAGACAAAACCCACATGAATACACTACGTTATTTTCTGAAAAAAATAACTGCTATTACTTCTCTCTCTTTTTTCTTGGAAGCTCAGATCCTAAGGCCAAATAACATAGGTAAATGTTGGCCCTCCAATGGCAACCACCATACTTAGATTTGGAGGTAATGGATAACTTTACTGCACCTCTACTTCCAAACTTCTACTGGAGTATTTTACACCAATGTCAACCACGGTATAAGTTTAGCAATACAATAATGGCCAGAGCTTAGCGTTTACATTCTCTCTTTGAACGGATAAAAATGCTTTGGGTCAGATCCTCAGCAGGTATAACAACTCAATCAGTGGAGCTACAGTGATTTACACCAGCAGAGGCTCTAGCTTTTAGTTGAACCTATCCCAACATACATTTATGGGGAGAACTTCAATGAACAAAGAAATGACAACTTCATACTCTGACTTTCCTTCCAAACAATTGGGGAATCATTCCTATAAATGGACTATACCAAGTGCCACTGGAGTTAAGTGGGAATTTGCTGTATGGAGTGCTTAAATGATGGCACTATGGGATTACATTTTAAAAGCCATCCTGTAGCAGGTTAGTGCATTTGACTTTTTTCATCACTAATCTCCCATTGTAATCTATTCAAAACTGCAATTTTAAAGCATCTACAATTGATTAGGGTGATGAATCAGATAAAGTATTACTTTTAAAAAGCTGTAACTCCTCCAACTTGCACATTCATCTTTAGTTGTTGCATGTTTCAAACTGAACTGAAGTGTTCTTAAGAAAGCAAAAATATCTTTATGGAGTCATTTGTCTACATTCTAAAAACACTACAGAGCATGGCACAGCTGTATAGAGCCCCTGTTTGGTATTGGTTCAGGCGCGTCAGGTCAGGATTGAGGTGTGCTGGCAGACTGGGAAGGAAAGGACAGCAATGGAATAACAGGGGGTGCTGGAGATGAGAACTGGGGAGCATTGGCAGAGGGGTGTGATGTGGAGCTTGCACTGACTAAAAGCAGTACCTGGCGCTATACTGTGCTACCAATTCTTCATTTCACCAAATCCACCCTGTTAGTAGAAACAGACAAAGGGTGTTTTAGTGCTCTTGGGGAAATCACAGACACAGGAGAAGGCTCAGAGACTACTTATTTTTATATATCTGAAGTTAAAAATTAAATGAAGGTGACTATGTTGTTTGCCTCATTTTTTAAAAATATACTACAGACCTCAGTCCAAAGATCCAGTGTTCTGAACCCACTATTACTGCAGAACACTGTAAGCTTTTTTTAATTTTGGAAACAAAGGGCTTTCCAAAACAATACTAGGGTTGACAGCATTATTATTTGCTATGGACAGAAAGAGCTTTAGCAATGGAACTGACCCTAACCTACATTCTGTAAGCACGATTTCCTATCAGTATATTTCATCAGATAGTGATTTCCTTTACCGCACTCATTTCTTTAAACAAGATATTGTCAGATCCAATAGAATAAGAAAACAATTAAGCTTTTCTCCCCAAAGTGCTTCCACTATGGTACATGTAATGACGCTGTAGAGCAAATAATCTATAGGAAAATAAAGATTTGGAAGACTGAAAGATTATATTGTTATGCTCGGAGGAGGGAAAGCTTAATGAAATAAAATGTGATTGTTTGGGGTTTAAACAGTTCTGCCATTGTACTAAATTGAAAATTCAGGATGCTTCAGTAAAGTGAAAAGACTTTGGTTTACCCTAAATTCAGTTCTCTGTGCAATGATGGCTTAGCTTTCCTTTGAGGGTTTACACTTCTCTGCCACACAATTTATACCCTCAGTTGGCTCTGCTGGTGCATTTGGGTGCAAAATGCAGATTACACTTTCAGTGCAGAGCCAAGTGGGAACAGCCAAAGTTAGAAAGACACAGAATGGAACACCTCCTTGCTACGGAAAGCACACATAGCACAAAACAATTAGGCTATGAGGGAGTGTTGCTGCAAAGCACTATATGGGGTTTTCTAACCGCGCTATAATCCATAGGACTTGCTCTGTTACAAGCCTCTTTGGAAATGCATCCCCAAGTGGAAAGGAGGCTTTAAATGCAAATCACTAGGCTGCTTGGTATTCAGATTACAAATTAGGAAATTAATCCTTGAAATTCTCCCCAGTTTTAGCTGTAAAACAAGTCACTATGAAGAACCCTACCGAAGCAATCAAATTCTGGCAGGCAGAACTTCTCAAACATCATGCACAAATAGTAAACTAGTCTAAGGTTTCTTTGTATTTTTCCACAGCAGTGCTGCACCTCTTGTTCATACATGATTTCAAACATCCTGGAGACCCGTTTTTACCTCAACTCACACATTGCGCCATTTAAAAAAATAATCTCAAACCATCAAAAATATAAAAATGCATAAACTAATGACTGCCAACTAAATTGAAGGGCCAAATTCTGTCCTCCATTACATTAGTGTACATTAACATCTGGAGAATTATTCCAGGTTTACACCAGAATCTGGCCTGATATCCCTAAAACCAAAGAAGGGCATCTTTAGACAAGCACTTCCACCCATCTGTCCATCTCCTTAATGCCTCCAGATTGCTGGGGTTTACTGCTCTTTATATAGTGCCATAGCACTGCACACGTTAAGCAGCAGGTAGCTAGAGGATTTTGAAGCCAGTTGTCTGACACTACACACTGGAAAATGCAGGTTGGTAAATGGAAAACAACAGAAATTTAAAAATTAAAAAAGAATTCCCTTGTCCTTCCATTCTCTCCCCATCTATATTATAGTACAGAGATACTCAGACCTCAGTGGTTCACTACCCAAATTAGCGATCAATATTACTCAAAAGAGCCACAGTAATGTGAATTCATTGTTTAATTTACTATAGTGCTAAATATTCATATTTAAACAGTAGGACAGGGGAGATATATATATACACTAAATATTTCCCCTGTCCTACTGTTTAAATATGAATTTATAGGCCAGTCATTTTGCTGCGATAATTATATATACACCTCTACCCTGATATAACGCTGTCCTCGGGAGCCAAAAAAATCTTACCGCATTATAGGTGAAACTGCGTTATATCGAACTTGCTTTGATCCGCCAGAGCGCGCAGCCCCGCCCCCCCCCCCCCCGGAGCACTGCTTTACCACGTTATATCCGAATTCGTGTTATATCGGGTCGCATTATATCGGGGTAGAGGTGTATATAATTCTCACAGCAAAATGACTGGCCAAATATTATTATTTTATCAACTACAACCGGTTAATAACACGGTAAAAACATCCTGACTGGTTAATAACTTAGTTTGGTTAATAATTAAATTACACAGTGTTTTAATATCATGTGTTGTAAAGAGCCACAGGAAACACAGTAAAGCGCCACTTTCAACTCAGGAGCTTCAGTCTGAGTATCACTGATATATCACTTTAAGTCTGCCTGTCCTCCATATCCTGCCCTCTAATGGCTGGAGTGTCATAATTCCATCTGCCTGCGAAGACACAGAGAAACTATGTCACCCCCCCTACTGGCTGCAGCCTAAAGAGAATATGAACCATAAGGGAGAGAAGGTGGAAGAGAATGAGAGAGATGAAGAGAGTAGTAAAGATGGAAAGGTGAGAGTGGGGGGGGGGGTGAACAAAAAGGTAGATAAAGACCGAAGTGAGAGAGGGGCTATCTCTGAATGTTTCACAGGTACTAGCTAACATTTATTCACCCTTGTTTACTAAAGGTATCCTCCCTCCAGACACATACAATTCACCCTCAACTTGTGCCCTGATATTGGAGGCAAATGGCATTATTAGTACGGTAGCTATCCCTTGTAAAAACTAAAATCTCCCTCGCTCGCCACAACCATACTGTACACTTCTGTAAAAGGAAATGATCTTCCACCAACATCCCCCGGGAAAATTTTTCCATAATACTTCTTTGGAGATAAACAGGGCCAAAAAGAGTTGGTCAATTCTGCTTGAATTCAAATCTAGAAGTAACAAATCCATATGCCAAAACTGTAAAAGTTTTGCCCAAAGTCTCTCTCCTCAACATTCCACAACACCAAGTTTTATTGGGTTGATTCCCTTACAGTGCTAAAGCCATAGAATCTAAACTGGTAGCAACTGTCATCCAAGTACCAAATTACAACTAACTCCATGTCTCCTGAACAATACAGCTCCACTTTTTGTTGGTCCGACACTTGAAACATTTTGACGTATAAGCAAAAAGATACAGTGGTTACCAAAATAGCACTATAAACACAACCAGTTCTTCTTGGCGCATTTTCTTAATGCCTTTCCCAATACGGTTAAAAAATGGGAACTAACCAAAAAAAAGCCTCTCTACACCTTGGCATGAACTGTCCTGAAATATAAAAATCTTTCAAATGTGCTGTCATGTTTCTTCAAACTTGTTTCTGAACGTCTGTTTTCCCACTCTGTTTTCATTTGTCATTTAAAAAATAATAATAAAGAGAAGAAACAAGATTTCAGAACTTATATAAGTGTAAGAATTTTGTCACTTTGAAGGCAAAAAGTAATTCTCAAAGAAAAATATATTTGTTCACCTCTCACAAATGAGGAAGTATAAATAGGTTAATATATTCTGAATTCTCCATCTTTTTAATGCATGTTTTATCTTCTGTGTGAATGCAAATTAACTCCCCCCCACACACACCCCTTATCTTCATATATGGAAACTTAGAGCCGTCTCCAGAGTCTGTCTTTTGTTATATTATCATACACCACTGAATATTCATCACCTTAAACTCACTGGGCCAAATTCTGATCCAATTCACACTGATGTGAATCCAGATGTATTTTTTTGACACCAAGGTAACTGAAATCCGAATCTTGACCCACTAAGTTCTGACACTTATGGAAACTTGAACTGCCTCTGAAGAAAAGAATGTCAGACCCCAGTCGGATCCATTAGTAGCAGCAGCAGCTGCAGCAGCACTGGCTGTATTGGTCTTTCAATTGGACCTGACTGTTGGTTTGCATACAGCCTTCAAAAATATGTTGCATTTTTCACGGGGGGGGGAACAGCAGGGGGAGGGGAGAAGAAATGTACTTTTAACAGTTGGAGAGCTGCCAAGCAAGTGGTTAATTTCACACTGCAAACTGTTATCTGAAAAAAGTTAACACAAGGTGGTGGAGCATGTACGGAGGGCAAGATGGAAATAGCTGCTCGAGAAACCACACGGTAGCCTAGACAGCAATTAAATATAGGTAGAGGTGTTGTTGTTTTTAAGGGACTTGAAAAGGAAGAAACGGCACTATTGGCCCGCGCGATCAAAAGGCAAAGCCAACAGCCCGCTGCAATCTATCTAGCACAGGATACGGCAAAACCCAGCAAAAATATGGGGCTTGGGGGGCAGGAGGGAAACAGACCCTGAGCATAGAGGAGACATTTGCAGCACGGATCAACCAAGGCAATGCCCCCCGCCCCTCTCTTGTGCCTCCGGTGGGTCCTTTCTTTGCCATCTTCACGTAGGAACAAGAGAAAAGCAGTAATTAGTCCTCCCCCGTTCCCTCTCCTGCCTGGCAGATCGTCTTCGGCAAAGGCGAAAACCTCGCTGCCTCCCCACAGCTCCTTCTTTGTTCCTTCCCCTTCTTCCTCCGAGCGCCCAGATCTCGAGGCTTTCTCCCTGTCTGGCAGACAATAGAGAGGGGATCTTACCTGCTGCGGGTTCAGGTGGCTGGCCAGGGCTCTAGGCGTCTGCCCGGTGTGTCCTGGGGAAAGGTACCGCCCGACTAGCCGGGCTGCGAGGGAGGAAGGGGTGATTTATAAGCGCTTTCTTCCTGACCTCTCGTCTCTGTTGTCTAATGAGGGAGCGTTGAGCATCACCCATCCTGCTGAGTGGAAAAACACCGGCTCAGCCTCTTCTTTGGTGGAGGGGCGGGGGTGCTAGAGGAAGGGGTGGGGGAAGGAGGGGCCACGCTTCAGACACACAGCCCGGGAGCCTGGGCTGGCAGGCAGCCGGCTCAGCTCCGGGGAGGGCAGCGGCCAGCGGGGCCGCGGGGCAGGGAGGAGGGGGGACGGCAGCTGCTGCAGGGAGCAGGGAGGCTGAGTGCGGACACGAGGCCAGCAGCTGAGCTCGGCGAAAGGGAAAGTGGAAGCTTTCCCCGCTGCTGGGGCAGCCCCCCCCCCTTTTCTCCCCCCCCCCCACAGGCTGCTCCCCCCCCCCCACTTCCGCGCATCACTCCCGCCCCCACTGGAGTCACTCCGGATTGACAGGGGTGTAACTGAAAGCAGCGCGGCACAAACAGCGGCGCCATGTGCGCCGGATACGCGTTGGAGGCGTTTAGTTGCAGGGACAAGTGGAGTCACACTGCATCTCTAATCCAAGCCCCCCCTTTATCCTAGAACCATGGGGTTGGCAGGGACTACAAGGGTCAGCTAGTCTAACCCCCTGCCAAGATATGCAGGATTTGTTGTCTCTAAACCATCCAAGGCAGATGGCTATCCAGCCTCCTTTTGAAAACCTCCAGTGAAGGAGCTTCCACCGCCCCCCACATAGGCAGTCTGTTCCATTGTCCTACTGTTCTTACAGTTAGGGAGTTTTTCCTGAGATTTAATCCAGATCTGCTGTGCTCTAGCCGCTCAAGGTTTGTTTCGCCTTCATTCCCTGCATGGCTTTTCGGTGGGTCGATGTCGCTTGTGAAATATATAACAACTCGCTCTTTGTCTCTGTCTGCAGTTCTCAGTTGCTGTGGGTCCTCACCACCTTCCCACACTTACTCACTCTCACAGGCTGTAGAGGTTTGGCTGGGGAGCTATTTTTTTTCCCCCCCTCTACAAAGAATTCCCTTCTCTGTTACCAAGTCTCAGGCTGTACTGGAACCAGGGCAACAGTAATTGGAACACAATCAAGATCTACCGTTCCCCTACACCCTCAACACACACCTACACGCACAGCCCTGACTTACTCCCAGGTTGATGATTGCCACTGAAATTCTGGCTGCTTTCAGTTTGGTCGAGACTCAGGTTTTAGGGAGGTTTACAGACCTCTGAGATCTATCTATGTAATCTCCAAACTAAAATCTCACACCTGAACACTCCCTAGTTTTGTGGGATTTCAAAGACGGTTACAAACCTAACAACCATAAAGGAAGAGGGCGTGTGGACAAGCAGATAGGACACAAGACTAGAACTCAGGAGACCAGACCCAGGCTTTGTGGCTTGGGCCTTCCAGAGATAATGCCAAACATCTAGCACTCAAGCACGCACAATGTACAAAATAAATACAGTACAGTTTCTACTGTTGGAAAGC